ATAACCAATAGACAATAGACGAAAGCCAAAGGAAGTAAAAAAAAAAAAACAATTCGCTCATAAAATTTTTGCCCCTCCTCAGAACCAAAAAGGAAGCCGCAATAGTCTGTAATTGTCTTTTAGATCAATTAAATTGTTAAAACTCATGAAGCTTCATACGCGTTCTTCACAGCCAATGCAGCTGCTTTGTACCACGAAGCTGCAGCCATGGCACCTGGGTCAGGTACTGATGCTAGAACATTTGCCGAGACATAGGATGACCTCCCAGCCTGATAAAAAGCTCAAACATCAGTTAAATGTTTCGATATATGGCAGATAAATGTGTGATATCAGATAAAACTGGAAGTAGATTAGGGATATAAGATAATAAAGCATAACATGGCCTTAGTTTTTCTAAAAGGAAAAAAAAAAAATTAAAAAATCTAGTTCATGTTTCATACTTACAATTTAATCCACTTTAATCAAGCTCCCGGAATATAATGAATACATGGGGAAAGGCATTTTGAAAAATTTAGGGACAACATGGGATGGCCTGGTTTTTTTTCAGCAATTAGGCAAAACCTCTTCTGTAATAAACTTAGAGACTAATGGTATGCTTATATCCAAACTAATGAGTCATTCTTTTTCTTTTTGTCTCCCCAATCAATAACATGAATCAAAACACGATCAGATGTCAACTCTCATTTATTTTTTTATTTTTTTTGGTGAAGTCAGGAAAACCAGCTTAAACAAGCGGAAGAAAAGGGAAATAGGATATAAAAAAAAATATAACAAATTTCTATTCTAGCTCAGACTCAAAACCGTTACCTGTGCCTGCATTTTCTTAGTCGACTCAGCACCAGCCACAGCTGCTTCAGCAGAAAGAACAAAAGCCTCAACAGGGTCAACTCCAGCCGCCAATTTCTGTATGTAAAAGCTCATTGTTCAACTTGACATGCTTTTCAATCGTTAGTGGAGAAAAATGAAAAAATGAGAGCTTATAACCTCTTTAAGGACAGAGGATGCAGGAATAAGCGCATCCAACAACGTGCGGTGGCCTTGTTTGGCACCCCCATATTTACTGACTGCAGCAAGAGCAGCTTCAAATGCACCAGCCCCTAAATCAAGAAGTTTGTTTTATAGAAATACCATATATGTATATAAATTGACCAAAAAATAAAAAATAAAAAATGAAATGTCACATTTAAAACTGTTTTTCATTAGGTCATCTCACATTGTAGTGCTGTGATGCCCGAGTCACTATTAGCTTTGAGATTTGCATGCGCTGCCTTAATGAATATGTCGTATCTGTTGCCCAAAAAAAATAAAAAAAAATAAAAGTCTGGATAAATTCTTAGGTAACAGTGTGGAAGTTTAGTTAGAGAAGAAAGATACTAAGTTACTAACATGATCCCACTGGTTCCACCCATGCCTTTTCTTATGGAAGTTCCAATTTCACCGACAGTCTCTACAGGGTCATTCAATGGGTAACTGGAAAATAGAATCCACGAGTAAAAACAAAAGTGAGAACATGTTATTTTTAACTATTCCAGTAGGCAATACATACTACTTTTGTGAAGTAAAAGAATGACGCAAATAAGAGGGACATCAAACAATATCAGGCGATTGCACACAATATAATAGAATTCGAGAAAATGCAAAACTATAGGAATTTCAATAGCTTTACAACTTTTGTCATCATGAGATGACTAAAAAGGAGATAAAACCAAGGTTAAAAATTATCATTTTATTTCAAATCATCAAGATAATTGAGGTGGTCCCATGTATTTGAATGCAACAGAACATTGTCATTTGCCAAAGCCAAAGTTTTGAATCAAGCCAAAAGATAGCATTCAAAACTGGTAGTATAATTACATGATAGAATTATACAAAACAAGAATTAAGAATCAATAGTATATGTTTCCAATTACAAAGTAGAAAAATGTTCTTAACACACTTGTCTGATCAGCATACATGTTTGGTACGAGGGAGGGGGAACCATTAAAAAGACGCTCACCGTTTTTTCAAGTCTTCAAGAA